GATAGTCACTCCCTCCCAAGCCTTACCTATAAGGCTTATGCAATGGAGGATACTGAAGTGTTCTTTCCAAAAATCTCTTAGGATCAAGTGAGTTTCTGAGGTCACATTAAAGCACCTTTGAAACACTGCTTTGGTGTAGAGTTTTTTAAAGTCTGAAATGACCTGCTGGTCCATGGGCTAGAGGAGAGGAGGGGTATTTGGGGGCAAGAACTTTACTGTGATGAACCCAAACTCCTGCAGAATTAGGTCATCCAAGTTTGGAGGATGAGCAGGTGCATTGTCCATTACTAGGAGGCACTTGAGATACAATTTCTTTTCCAGGAGGTAATTCTTCACACTAGGGCCAAACACTTCATTGAACCACTCGACAAAAATTTCCCTCCCATGCCTTATTATTAGATCTCCAAAACACACACAATTTACTCTTCATAACATTGTTTTTCCTGAACACTCTGGGATTTCAGAATGGTACACTAGTAACATCTTCACTTTGAAATCCCCACTAGCATTAGCACAGAACATAAGTGTCAGCCTGTCTTTCATAGGCTTGTGTCCTGGCAGTCCCTTTTCCTCCTGAGTAATGTAGGTCCTCTTTGGCATTTTCTTCCAAAAGAGGCCTGTTTCATCACATTTGAACACTTGTTCAGGTTTCAGTCCTTCAGCCTCTATGTACTCCTTGAATTCACTTAAGAATTTTGTAGCTGCAATTTTGTCCAAACTGGCAGCCTCACCATGCCTTATCACACTGTGTATGCCACTATAGTTCTTAAATCTCTCAAACCAACCTTTGCTGGCCTTAAATTCACAAATATCAGTACTCACCGCAGGCAGTTTCTTTACCAGATCGTCATGCAACTGCCTAGCCTTTTCACAAATAAGCGACGTCATAAGACCATCTCCTGCTAATTGTTTCTCTTTTATCCAAACCAATAATAACCTCTCAACATCTTCGAGTACTGGTCATCTCATTTTTGTTAGCATATTTACCCCCTTTGCAACAACAGCTTCCTTGATTCCCTTTTTCTTAGCCACGATGGAAGATACGGTTGTACGGGATTTGTTATACATCCTGGCCAGTTCTGCCACACGTAGGGCCACTTTCATATTGTTCAATGATGTTTTTCTTAAATTCAATCGTATTTCTCACCTTCTTTAGCAAAGGCTTGGCACTAGGAGCTTTCTTTGGAGACATGGTAGCTTATTTAGCACTTGTAAGCACTAAAATGAATGGAATATTATGAAATATTTTGCATGAACAAGTGAGGGGACCGTCGCTCACTGGTAAACAATGGCACACTGGCTGGGAAGGGAGGCCGAGGCAGCTCAGAGCACGAGTACGCGTCTCTGACGAAGGACGATTAGTGAGTCAACCGACCATTTGCGAGCCAATGTTTGGACAAAAATAAAGCAACGATTTCCGAAAAGGATGACTATCGAGCCTGACGATTATCGAGGGACCACTGTATATATATATAGGTAGCAGGTTGGTAGACAGCAACCGCCCAGGGAGGTACTACCGTCCTGCCAAGTGAGTGTAAAATGTAAGCCTGTAATTGTTTTACATGATGGTAGGATTGCTGGTGTCCATTTTTCTGTCTCATAAACATGCAAGGTTTCAGGTATGTCTTGCTACTTCTACTCACACTTTGGTCACACTACATATGCATGTACAAGCATATATATATACAGTGGACCCCCGCATAGCGACTTTAATCCGTGCAAGAGGGCTGATTGTTATGCGAAATGGTCGGTATGCGAATGAATTTTCCCCATAAGAAATAATGGAAATCAAATTAATCCGTGCAAGACACCCAAAAGTATGAAAAAAAAATTTTTACCACATGAAATATACATTTCCCTACACACAAAGAGAAGGATACATGCACAATAGTAGAGTAGTACATGCACAATATATATTGTGCATGTACTACTCTACTAAATGAAGAATAAATGACACTTACCTTTATTGAAGATGCAGCAAAAGACTGATGAGACACTGTGTCCTGGGAGTGCCTTTTCCTCCTGAGTACTGTAGGTCCTGTTTGGCATTTTCTTCCAGAGCATGCCTTATCACACTGTGTATGCCACTATGATTGTTAAATCTCTCAAACCAACCTTTGCTGGCTTTAAATTCACCAATATGAGCACTAGTTCCAGGCATTTTTCCCTGTTCACCTGGGTGTTAGTCGACTGGTGTGGGTTGCATCCTGGGAGACAAGATTAAGGACCCCAATGGAAATAAGTTAGATGACACTGACTTTTTTGGGTTATCCTGGGTGGAAAATCCTCTGGGGTTAATTGTTTCTTGGTATTCTCAATAAGCCACACCAACAACAGTGCTACAGCAGCAGCAGACGATGCTACAGCAGCAGCAGACGCTGCTACAGCAGCAGCAGATGGTGGTACAGCAGCAGCAGCAGCAGACGATGCTACAGCAGCAGCAGACGGTGGTACAGCAGCAGCAGCAGCAGACGATGCTACAGCAGCAGCAGATGATGCTACAGCAGCAGCAGACGGTGGTACAGCAGCAGCAGCAGCAACAGACGATGCTACAGCAGCAGCAGACGGTGGTACAGCAGCAGCAGCAGCAGACGATGCTACAGCAGCAGCAGCAGCTGACAGTGCAGCAGCAGCTGATGGTGGTACAGCAGCAGCAGCAGCTGTACCACCAATAGTAGCGATGGTTGATTGGGGTTTATTATACAACCTGGCCAGCTCGGAGACACGCACTCCACTTTCATACTTATCAATGATCTTTTTCTTCATCTCTATAGTAATTCTCACCCTTATTGCTGTAGGGTTGGCACTAGAAGCTTTCTTGGGGCCCATGGTCACTTATTTTCCAGAAAAAATCACCAAAAACACTGTAATAATACAAAATGTTCCGATTGTATGCTTGGATGTTACCGCGGAGGCTGGCTGGTAAACAATGCCACCGGCGGAACATGTGAGGCTGGCTAAGGGCGCACATTGGACGCGTCTTGGACGAAGAGCGTTGAGCGGGTTTTTGGGCGGTATGCGAGGCAAAATTTTTGCGAAAAAAGCGAGCGGTATGCAGATTGTACGGTATGCGATGCGTACGGTATGCGGGGGTCCACTGTACACCCTTCTAGGTTTTCTCCTATTTTCTTTCTAGTTCTTGTTCTTGTTTATTTCCTCCTATCTCCATGGGGAAGTGGAACAGAATTCTTCCTCCGTAAGCCATGCGTGTTGTAAGAGGCGACTAAAATGCCAGGAGCAAGGGGCTAGTAACCCCTTCTCCCGTATAAATCACTAAATTTAAAAAGAGAAACTTTCGTTTTTCTTTGTGGGCCACCCTGCCTTGGTGGGATACGGCCGGTTTGTTGAAAAAAAAAAAAAAAAAAAAAAAAAAAAAAAAAAAAAAAAAAAAATATATATATATATATATATATATACAGTGGACCCCCGCATAGCGAACGCCTTGCATAGCGAACAATCCGCATAGCGAACGCTTTGTTCGCTGAAATTTTGCCCCGCATAGTAGACAAAAACCCGCTCACCGAACTTCGTCCGAGACGCGTCCAATGTGGGCCCTCAGCCAGCCTCACATGTGCCGCCCGTCCCATTGTTTACCAGCTAGCCTCCGCGGTAACATTCAAGCATACACTCGGAATATTTCGTATTATTACAGTGTTTTCGGTGCTGTTTCTGGAAAATAAGTGACCATGGGCCCCAAGAAAGCTTCTAGTGCCAACCCTGTGGTAAAAAGGGTGAGAATTAGTATGGAAATTAAGAAAGATTTTGAAGGGTTTGGGGCTAACCCTGAGAAGCCTATGCCAGTTGTGGAATCCATTGTGCCTACTTCAAAAATTAAGGAAATGTGTGCACAGTGGGTTGAACTGCAAACCTTTATGGATGAAAATCACCCTGACACAGCTGTTGCAAGCCGTGCTGGTGACTATTTCAATGACAATGTTATGGCCCATTTTAGGAAAGTCTTGAAGGAACGGGAGGTACAGAGCTCTATGGACAGATTTGTTGTGCGACAGAGGTCCAGTGACTCTCAAGCTGGTCCTAGTGGCATTAAAAGAAGAAGGGAAGTAACCCCAGAAAAGGACTTGCTACCTCAAGTCCTAATGGAAGGGGATTCCCCTTCTAAACAGTAAGAAGATAATGCTCTCCCCTCCTCCCATCCCATCAATCATCACCAGATCTTCAATAAAAGTAAGTGTCATGTAATTGTGCATGCCTTTTTCAGTTTGTGTGTACTAAAATTAACATTTTTTTGTGGTAAAATTTTTTTTTTCATACTTTTGGGTGTCTTGCACGGATTAATTTTATTTCCATTATTTCTTATGGGGAAAATTAATTCGCATAGCGAACATTTCGCATAACGACCAGCCCTCTTGCACGGATTAAGTTCGCTATGCGGGGGTCCACTGTATATATATATATATATATATATATATATATATATATATATATATATATATATATATATATATATATATATATATATATATATATATAATATATATATATATAAAATATATATATACATACATACATATACAGTGGACCCCTGGTTAACAATATTTTTTCACTCCAGAAGTATGTTCAGGTGCCAGTACTGACCGAATTTGTTCCCATAAGGAATATTGTGAAGTAGATTAGTCCATTTCAGACCCCCAAACATACACGTACAAACGCACTTAAATAAATAAACTTACATAATTGGTCGCATTCGGAGGTGATCGTTATGCGGGGGTCCACTGTATATATATATACATGTATATATATATATATATATATATATATATATATATATATATATATATATATATATATATATATATATATAGTGGCACCATATTCACCTTGGAATGCCTTATATTGTGCACACACATCCAATTTCAATGTGTGAAATATTGTTATGAATCATGTTTAAACTTTATGCACAGTACATGTATTCTCAGATTACAGTTCAAAGCTTTAGTCTTAGAATCAAGTCATAAAGAATTGTAAATAAAACTATTAAATATTGTACAATATTATTATTTCATTTTAGAAGTCAGTTGCACTCTCTTACGTATCCTCCACAAATGAAGAGAAAATGGACTTGGTAGTGTCATATATACAGCTAAAATTGAGGAACGTGAATTGTAGGGACCCATTTATTCATTTTCACTTGGATAGGCTGCATAAATGAGTGAGGCAGTTAAAGGAAAATACTGAGCTCTATGCTAGCCCAATGTGACTATCAGACTTCTTTGCTATCACTCACAAGGAATTGTTAAATACCTTTTTAATTTTGTTAACAAAAGATTGCCATTAGTGACCATTATAAAATAAAATCTTAGTAAGGCTCATTTGTGTCAGTTTCAGGGGTAATATGAACCTTATACAAAATACTGTACTGACATGAAAAGAAGGGCATTCATGTGTAACATTCTGAGGTTATGCACCACACGTTCTCTTTCTCAACACTTGTTTCCATGATAAACATTAAAAGCAGTAACATGTCACAAATTCAACGTGGGCTGAAGCTGTTTATAGTCACTACAAATATGGTCTTTCAAACGTCGCATAAACATTCACTGCTTCACTCACACTAACATGTACCCATTTTATTATTTTACAAAAGTTCACTGACAAAAAATACAATACTGATTGTTTTTCTTATAACCTCATTACATGTTTACCTAAATAATTAATGAATACCCTTGTCCTGGGTGGCTAAACCCAATCTGCACAGAACAACTAACAGGTCACAAGTAGTTACATTTCAAAAGTAGGGAGGATTACTTTCCTCAGCTGCAAGCTATATTTACAGAACTCATGTACCTAGTACACACAAGCAACTCTTTCTTTCAAGGTCAGAAAGAGAATCATATTCATCACAATAAACTTGGCAGTCATACAACGACACCAACAGACGTCGCCAAACATAACTTGGCAGTCACACAACGACACCAACAGACGTCGCCAAACATAACTTGGCAGTCACACAACACCAACAGTAGTTGCCAAACATAACTTGGCAGTCACACAACGACACCCAACAATAGTCGCCAAACATAACTTGGAATACTAGATAAGCAATGTGTGACATTAATGTAATCTTGATAAAAGTAGCCTCTTCTTAGGCCCACATACCATTGGTAAGGAAGCTCAACACTCAACAAACATCCAAAATAACTTATATAAACTAGATTTACTTATAATCTAGTATACCTTTGGCCATGAATGAAGAAAGTATCACATTATCCCAAGCCAGCAAGGGAACAACAAGTGTGCACTTTACTGCAAATGTATTTGATCACATCCATCATATTTTAATTAGTGTCATTATTTGCCTGAAACATTCATCTTACATAACCCAAAACTGTTGGTTTCTGTGAAGCTCTGAGAGCCACTGTAACAACTTAAGATATTGTGTAACAAGTAAGCTGCCTATCCAAAGCATCCCTGAATTGCAGCCTGCATCACATAATATTTTCATTAAAACTGAAATATTGAATGCAGCTGATATCATTAAAGAGCTGCTAACCATGAGGCTTTATTCTCTGGCCAATGTGTAAGAGAAAGCTGCCATCTCTATCATTGTATCCCTATCTTCTATTTGCCCCTAGTATCGTGTCAATAATGTATGGGAAAAGATCTCGGATCTATGCCAGTTGACTCATCTGTGGGATTAGGTTAAGGTATCATCCTCTTTTACAGCTACTTGCTCTTGTTGGACAGTTTGCAACGGAAGGAGCGCTGCTTGGCAATCAGGTTGGGTAGTGCTGGCTTGGGACGAGAGCTAGTTGGGTGTGAAGGAAGGTTCTGTGCACCACCAACTCCATCACTCCCATCAACTTCTGTTGTTAAAAATACCTTTATAAGCATTCAGCATATTTTAAGTGGGTTCACACATGAGAACTGATAAAGTACATTAACAATACAGTATGCTTGGATAAGAAATATTTAGATGACTATTTTTTTGGGGATGAATTAATGGATAATTCATATTATGCAATGAAAATTCTCCAATTTCTCTCTATTTCCCTACTCATACCTCTACCAAGACACTCAATCATAGCTGTTCAAACTTTCTCTACTTCCTGAATAACAAGACAGTAGCAACATAGCACTCCAATTAACATGCAAAATTCTCCATCAAACATTATCAAAACTGCTGCATCAGCAACACTATAATAATAATGATAATAATAATAATAATAATAATAATAATATTATTAATTAACCCTTAAACTGTCCACAGGTAGATCTATGTTCACGTGCGGTGGGCTCCAAACGTAGATCAACGTTTTATTTTTCATTCCTTCAAATTTGGTGTGATAGGCCTGAGTTGCCTAGACATAAAAGAATGGGTCTGTGCACTCAGTGTGTGCAGTATGAAAAAAATCGGGTACCACTTAGTACCCTGTGGGAACACCAGTTCAATTGAGTGCCAGCTAGAGCAAATAGCATGGCAAACACCAGTGATTCAATGATGTCATGTTACATTAACACTCACATTTTAAGAGGAAAGTAAAAATAGGTTAGATAAATACATGAGTGGGTGTGAGTTAGACCTGACTAGCTTGTGCTACTAGGTCAGATGCTGTGCTCCTTCCTTCAGTGGATGTGACCTGACTTGGTGGGTCATTGGTCTAAGCCGGGGGAGAGGGGGGGGTGACATGAACCTGTCTTGCATGGGCCAGTAGGCCTGCTGCAGTGTTCCTCCTTTCCAATGTTTTAATGTATTCGGCTGACTGGCTGGCTTTGGCTGTCTCTGTTTTTATCTGTCTGTCTATATCTCTGTCTCTCACATGTACTCATAAGTACAATTATTATACATAATGGCACAACAGTGCCACGATCGCACGTGCAAAGAAAATGATAGGATGGATAATGAGAACTTTCAAAACGAGAGATGCCAAGCCCATGATGATCCTTTTCAAATCACTTGTTCTCTCTAGGCTGGAATACTGCTGTACATTAACATCTCCATTCAAAGCAGGTGAAATCGCAGATCTAGAGAGTGTACAGAGATCCTTTACTGCACGTATAAGTTCTGTCAAGCACCTTAACTACTGGGAACGCTTGGAAGCACTTGACTTGTACTCGTTGGAACGCAGGAGGGAGAGATATATCATAATCTACACTTGGAAAATCCTGGAAGGAATGGTCCCAAATCTGCACACAGAAATCACTCCCTACGAAAGTAAAAGACTGGGCAGGCGATGCAAAATGCCCCCAATAAAAAGTACCTTAACTACTGGGATGTTGCAGCGAGGAGAAGGCTGGAGGCAGTGGAGATGTCATGTCTGAGAGCAATGTGTGGTGTGAATATAATGCAGAGAATTCGTAGTTTGGAAGTTAGGAGGAGGTGCGGGATTACCAAAACTGTTGTCCAGAGGGCTGAGGAAGGGTTGTTGAGGTGGTTCGGACATGTGGAGAGAATGGAGCGAAACAGAATAACTTCAAGAGTGTATCAGTCTGTAGTGGAAGGAAGGCGGGGTAGGGGTCGGCCTAGGAAAGGTTGGAGGGAGAGGGTAAAGGAGGTTTTGTGTGCGAGGGGCTTGGACTTCCAGCAGGCATGTGTGAGCGTGTTTGATAGGAGTGAATGGAGACAAATGGTTTTTAATACTTGACGTGCTGTTGGAGTGTGAGCAAAGTAACATTTATGAAGGGGTTCAGGGAAACCGGCAGGCCGGACTTGAGTCCTGGAGATGGGAAGTACAGTGCCTGCACTCTGAAGGAGGGGTGTTAATGTTGCAGTTTAAAAACTGTAGTGTAAAGCACCCTTCTGGCAAGACAGTGATGGAGTGAATGATGGTGAAAGTTTTTCTTTTTCGGGCCACCCTGCCTTGGTGGGAATCGGCCAGTGTGATAATAAAAAAAAAAAAGTAGGGGCGCCATTGGTACACTAAGGGAAAACACCATCAGTGTCCGGGGCCCAAAACTGTTCAACAGCCTCCCATTAAGCATTAGGGGAATTGCCAATAAACCCCTGGCTGCCTTCAAGAGAGAGCTGGACAGATACCTAAAGTCAGTGCCGGATCAGCCGGGCTGTGGCTCGTACGTTGGACTGCGTGCGGCCAGCAGTAACAGCCTAGTTGATCAGGCCCTGATCCATCGGGAGGCCTGGTCATGGACCAGGCCGCGGGGGCATTAATCCCCGGAATAACCTCCAGGTAACCTAAAAATTCCAGGCCAAGTGCTATACAGTGCTTGTAGATATAAGACATAAATAAACATGACCACACACAAAAGACAAAAAGACAGATAAACTGAACTAGACAGACAGATAAGCAGAGCTAGGCATGTTTGTGTGCAAGAGTAAAAATATATAAAGGCAAGGTTCCCTCTAGTAGTCCACATTCATCAAATGTCACTGGCTGTCACTTATCTGACTCTTGTCATAACACCATCCTTCAAGGAGTTTCATATTATACTCCAGGAACACACACAAGACAGAAAAGCTGAACTAGACTGACAGATAAGCAGAGCTAGGCAGATAGACAGATAGATGTACAGATAGACAGGCAGATAGACTGACAGACAGATATACAAAGACATGTTTGTGTGTAAGAGTAAAAACATATAAAGGCAAGGTTCCCTCCAGTAGTGCACATTCATCAAATGTCACTGGCTGTCACTCATCTGACTCTTGTCATAACACCATCCTTCAAGGAGTTACATACTCCAGTATGTCTTAAACATTGCTGGGACCTATAAATACTTTGTATATATTTTTAGACAATAGTCAATGACAAGGCAGGTGAAAATGTTCACCTGTCAGTGTGATTGTTACTATTTGAGTACTATTTCAGTACATAATATTAGTGTCAGAATAAAGATTGTAATTATCAGAGCATAAAAATTATATAAATTAAAATAAAAACGAGAAAAAACGGTAAATCGGCAACACTTCTTCAAGCAGCAGGACTGGATGTTGCCGTCAGGTGAGCATCCAGAGCCAACTTTGTGGTCTTATATCTTGGTAAGTACTGGTCCTAAAAAAAAATTTTTTTTTTTTTTGGTCTTATACCACACAGAAAATTGCTCTCCATAATTTATAAACAAAAAACGATTTGTTTTATTTTTCAAAATATTCGGAGCGCCACACAGGTGAACATAGATCTACGTTTGGACAGTTTAAGGGGTAATAATGAGGTTAGCACACTTGATCCTGCTGTAAATTTAACAGCCTGATATTACCTAGCTAAATATTCAGGTAATTTCATCATAAAATCATGAAAAATTAAGACAATAATTTACTAATCATAATTTCTTACCTTTGTAATTAAACTTGAATAAGAATATATGAACTATACTGTAGCTTTTTAAATGATTAATGAAAAATGTACATGAGGTAAAGGAATACTGTAATACAGTGTAGTTACAAAGGCCACTTGAGTTAAATGCAGCAATAAAATAATAATAATGATAATGTTAATAATAAATACTAGCTGTTATATTTTAAATTTTCAAGCTAATAAATTTTCATAAATTAGAGTAATAAAATAAAGGAGACTTTCTATACCGTACCTCTAAATAAATGTTTTCTTAATCAATGAAGCACAAAAGTAACATAACATTTAACACTACACATGCCAAGTATATATGCAAAACATAATGCTTATTACATCTAACCACAAAGACTTTAACTGCAGCCATTCTTATTGACTGTGAGACCAAGTTCTACTACAGTGTGCAATTGATGAGGTAAAGTGCAACATACTGGTTGTGAAACACAACTACTGTTTAAAAGGCAGACTGAGAGGAGGAAGAATAGGAGGAACAGGGTAGGAGAGAGGGAGGGTGGCAGAAGTAGGGAGGGGAAGGTAGAAACTAAGAGGCATTTATGTGTATGTATATTATGTATAAGTGATTCAATTGTCTGACAGTTTTACTTTAGATCCTCCATCAAACAGCTTTGATTATTCAGTTTATTTTTTGGGGCTTTCAGTATGACCCCTAATTTAAAAGTTAACTATAGTATTTAGCACTTATTGGTTTTCTTATGGTTGTCAATATTATCAAGATTAGAGTGACATTTCAAGAGCCTCTCAAATACAAAATGAACTCAAATTTGAAATAAAATATATATGTTGAGAAGTTATGTTTTTCAAGAACCTTGAATTCACAATGGCCCCTAGAAACATACTGTATTTTCTGGCATATAAAACACACAAGCATGTAAGGTGCACCTCAATTTTGCCAGGCATATTCTGGAAAAAATATAAAATGCAGAACTTGCTTCACAAGGATAGCAAGCTAGTGACTGGCTGCTTATGTGCACAGTGTAGCTGGAGGAAGTGGGACCTGTTGTTTACAGACGGTTACTCACGGTTACTTTACAATTATTTACAACTGATGAGCTAGTCTGCTTATGTACCAGAAATATGTGAATTATAATATATACAAATCATTCTACAATAAACTGGGAAACAGTTTTGTAGGGAGTGGGGGGGGGATAGGTGTTTGCATTTTAGTTTACCAGTCCCACAATACTGTAACTACCCAAAGCCTACCCTTATTCCTGACTTTGGGCATATAAGGCATAGGGTGATTTTTTTTTTTTTTTTTGGGGGGGGGGGGGGGGGGAGGAGGCTTACATGCCAGAAAGTACAGTAACTTTCACAACTTTAGAGGTTTCACTGTATACATGTGACTTCAAACATGACAACTATGCAGTATACATATGCCTCCAGACATGACAACTATGCAGTACACATATGCCTCCAGACATGACAACTATGCAAATACATACACAGTAAACTCTCAATTTAATGTTCCTAGAGAGTGGTGGCTCGTAGCGCCAGTAATACCTATACTATTGTACTGCATTAAACTTCTATTTTTAATA